GAATAACAGTAGCAGAGACCTGTGCCCACAGCCATTTTTGGATGATAAACATTTGTATCAGGTCAACAAAACATGGGCATAGTGACAATATTTTTTATACTACATTTATCCATTTTAAATATACTAACCTCACTCCTTTGTAACAACTAAGGCAAAAATGTAATTAATTCAGAAAATCTTTTCAGGACCCCACCTTGACATTTCGGGACCCCACTTTGGGTCCCGACCCCAACTTTGGGAAACACTGGTCTAGGGGATGATTAGTGTAATTTGTGTCAAGTAGACAGCATCATGGCGTGGCTGCCCAAAACATCTGCAGCCTTTCTAGTCAAGGCAAAAACATCAAATCAGTCGGTAAAAAAAGTCAAACAAAGTCACAAAACACTCGTCACCCTCTGCTAGGGTTGGGCATAATCGTATCGTGTGCAATTAATCGTCAGAAAAACATTAATCGATTATTTTTTGGCACTTGATAGTTAATACGATTAATGCCACCAGGCAGACTGACTGGATATTTCCCCGGTCGGTCCGCTTGGTGCTCCTCTCCGCTTCAAATGTGAGGAACATTAAAAAAATCAAATTTATTTATCTATCAATACAAATTAAAATATGATGTATAGCCCGAAGTCTGTAGTTTTGACAATTTGGAACAGATTTTTATGAAGAGCAAATCTTTCCCACTAAATTGGTCATGGGACCAGGACATGAGGGTGTCCAGGGACTCCAGGGGATTAATCGTCAAATTAATCGTTATCGGCTAAAAACACAATTAATCGTGATTAATTTTTTTGCCAATATCGCCCAACCCTACCCTCTGCCACGGTTTCTGAAAACGCTGTGGCCAAGTCAGGGTCGACCCCCCCCTCGATAGGAGCCCATTAATCATGTCCTTTTGGTCTAGCTCCCAAATTCTGTCATCAGCCAACGAGCATGGGAACGTCTGCACCTCCTCATAGGACCATGGTGTTGGTTTATGTGTTGTCCCATGTCAGATCTTCAGCTCGACTCCCTTCAGGCTTTTATGTAGGATCCAGAGGTTGTGACGACACACAACAGCAGACACTGAAGCTGACACATCGYTACCCACCTCCTCTATCTAAGCCAGGGATGTCCAAAATGTGGCCCGGGGGCCATCTGTGGCCCYTGAACTGATTTTGTGTGGCCCCTGACTTCAGTTTAAGAATTATACTAAATTGTTTACAAATTTGTCCCCCCGGCACAGGTGTTTCATGGAGACTTTCTGTTTATTATTAGGACAAAATTATCACAAAATAAAATCTTACTATAAAAATATTGGCAACAATACCAATTATTTGTCTTTTAAAAACCAAAATAACCAAGTAACCTTTAAATAACCAGACTCTTAGCTCATGTTGTGACTTGGTGTATACAGTATAAATAAACTGAATTGAATTGAATTGAACTAAATTTCCTTCAATAAGGGAAATCCTGCAAAACACTTTAAAAGCTCTGGATCTAGATTAATTTACACATCCATTTCCAGCAATAAATCTGACTACTGTATTTGTTTAATTAAAGTATTTAATGCTTAGTTTATTGTTGAGCAGGTAAAGGAAAACTATTTTTGGCCCTCCAATCCTTCTGACTTTATGATTTTGGCCCATGTGACAAAATGTTTGGACCCCCCTGATCTAAGCCCAGCTCAGTTTATTCTTTGTGTCATTGTCTGACTTCATAAAAATAATTGTGGTTGTCTCCGTCGCCACTTACAAAGTTATGAAATTTACTGTGGAGAAAAAAACCCAACAACTTTTAGACAGAATAATGTTTATTGAGTTTCTGCTAACCCGTACATCGGCACTGTGCCCTGAGGTGTTGAAAACTGAACAGGGTGTCCTTATGACGCCCCTCTAGCTAAATGTCTGGCTCGCTTGGAACCGCAACCAAGTAGGTCCTAAKAAMCGAGCTCGAAGTGGACGRGACCACCCAAAAGAAAGACTCTGAAACCATGTAGGGCTGAGTCGAGCCCGTGGCAAACGGTCATCTGTTGTGTTTTTAAACTGATTGTTGTGCGTCCAAACTCTAATGAAGAGCTGTCAGTTTTTATGGTCCGTGTCCGTCCCTTCAGCTTCTCCAGGTTAGCATGTTACAACTCCTTGTATTGGTGCTTCTTCACATTGTCTCACCACAAACTAAACACACAGGTTTGCTTTTCACTTCAGCATGAAAGTACTCATTCATTTAAACTTTCAGCATCCACATTTCTTTCTTTCTTTCTTTCTTTTTTTGCCGTTGCCATGCTTGACACTTGTTAAACACACCGTCTTATCTCACTCTTATGCTTACTTCTGTTGCTTTCACTGACMTTTATCCTGTCTTGGATATATGTGCGTTATTGTTAAAATTATTATAGCAATACCATTGGTTGTTCATATTTTTCACTTAAAATGCCTATCAGGCTGGTTTTAAGGGTTCCAAGGGCTGTATTCGGCCTATGCAGTGGAAGTTCCTCAGTCCTACTTTACAGTATTAATAGCCTCTGTGAAATGGCCACACAGCGCATTCTGTATTTATGCTCCCTCTGGTCATTCATAAATCACAGCGGTGAAGCTGGTCACTCCTGTTTTACAATATTGAGACTTAACATTCTTTCAAGGAACCCATCTTATGTTGAGTTATCTGTTTTGGTTCATCGTTGTCCATAACCTTATGTGTGTGATCCCAATGAATCTTGAGCGATCTGTAGAAAATACAGTATGTTTCCTTAGTTTTTGGATGAAATCTTCTGTTTGAGCTCTGCTGAAGACCGTCTCTATCCCACCTAGGGGTTCCTCCATCGCCAAAATCATTGGAAACAACGTCAAAGCGTCCAACCGCTTTGACCCCATGGTAAACATGTGGGTTTACGAGGAAACCGTCGACGGGAGGAAACTCACAGAGATCATCAACACCGAACACGAAAATGTTAAATACCTGCCAGGTCACAAGCTGCCCAAGAATGTGGTGAGCTTTCTACAGTGACTCGTCTAATCTTGTCTCCACAGGTTAAGTTTAATGTTAGACCACACATTGTTCTTTGATTTATGAGRTTTTTAACGGTACAAACATGCAGACACAAGGTGAAATCTATCCTGAAGGAAAGCGTTGTTTAAAAACTTAATGTACCACGGATATAAGATGGTTTCAAAATGAACCATAACTGCAAAAATACTGGTTCTTACTTTCRCATCATCAGCAAATCTTAAATCATTTCCTGCTGGCATATTTCTCATTTTTGTTCCTCAGTGCCACCAAAGCAGGCAGTTTCACAATAAAACATGAATCTGTYATTTAGATGAGCTTTTAGTTGCAGCCAAGAGTCTTTTGTGTTCATGTTTGCAAGTGTTTTCTGCTAAATCTTCAGTCTTTGAGCACTAGTTGGTGATTTTACTGAATCATTTAGTCCTGATTTTAAATCTTTGCTTTTTATATTGTCAGGTTTTTCTTGATTTGATTGATTTGATTTATTTATTTAACAGGAAAAGATTATTAAAAATCAAGC